TTGTCTTGGATGAGGCCCAGAGTATAAAGAATCACAGAACTCAAGTTGCAAGGGCCTGCTGGGGTCTTCGTGCAAAGCGAAGATGGTGCTTGTCTGGGACTCCTATCCAGAATGCTATTGATGATCTTTATAGTTATTTTAGATTTCTCAGATATGACCCTTATGCTGTCTATAATACATTCTGTTCTACTATCAAGATTCCAATAAACAGAAGTCCAAACAAAGGGTATAGAAAGCTACAAGCTGTCTTAAAGACAATAATGTTACGCAGGACGAAAGGTTAGATCCAAGAACTTCACTAATGCTGGGCCATAATGTACTGTTTTAACTTATTCCCTTACTCTGTTCTCTTAGTCCTATTGTAAAATCTACTTTGCCATGTAATATGTTATTTACTTATGAAATTTATGTTTGTTATTCCAAATCTGATAGGAAATAAATCAAGCATAGGCTCAGGAAGGCTTATTTTAATTTCTGTAGTGGTTGGGTGATGTGCCTAATTACAAGTTTGGACTGATGATTCTGGAGCTGAGATGTACAATTCTATTGTATACATGAATATTTTATGTAATTTTCTTCAATTTCAAGTGAACAAAGAGTCCCCTGGCCTCTGTCGAAGCTATTGCATAGTGTATGAACTCATTTAATTTTATGATCATTGCTTGCTTAGCTTGAAATGTGCTTTTGACCATATCATGGTTATCATTTGCTAGGCACACTTCTTGATGGTGAGCCTATTATTACACTGCCACCTAAATATGTAAAGCTGAAAAAAGTGGATTTTTCAAGAGAGGAGCGTGATTTCTATTCCAGGCTGGAGGCTGATTCTCGTGCACAATTTCAGGTTTGATCAGCTTTTTGACAATTTTTGATCGACATGGATAATCCTTTTATTTGTGTGCATGTGCGTGTCCCCCCCTTGATGATTTTACTTTTCATTCCCTCCCAATTTAAAGGAAGGTTTATTAACGTTCAGCAATATGCTGGCTGCATATTTTGGCTGTAAACTATTTTAAATTGCGTTTTTGGCATGTCATGTCAGGAATATGCTAATGCTGGAACTGTCAAGGAAAATTATGTCAACATTCTGTTGATGCTTTTACGCCTTCGACAAGCTTGTGATCATCCTCTACTTGTTAAGCGCTATAATTCTAACTCTCTATGGAGATCTTCAGTTGAGATGGCAAAGAAACTTCCTTGGGAAAAACGAACATCACTTCTGAATTGTTTGGAGGCTTCATTGGCTCTTTGTGGCATCTGTAATGTACGTATTGACCATCATTTGCACACACGATGCATGGAAATATGATTGATTTCAGCCTCTATCTTTGCTTTCATGTAATTTTAGGGAGCACTTGGGAGAAGAGTGTAAAGTGAAAGGTAGTAAAGAGGAGTGGAAATGGAAAGGGTTTTTAATTTTTACATGTTAGATGTTTGTTTCTGGAGGGAAATGTGGGTAGCTTGGTTAAAACATGAGTCAAGTTCCAAGGAATGGGAATATGTTATATCATAATTACCATTGCATCTTTTATATCAAATATCTTATGAAAAGCAGTCCTCTTGTACCCTTACTTCTCTTGCCATTTGTTGCCCAACAGGATCCTCCTGAAGATGCAGTTGTTTCAGCTTGTGGTCATGTTTTTTGTAACCAGTGTATTTGTGAACATCTTACTGGTGATGACAATCAGTGTCCTACTACAAATTGCAAAGCTCAATTGAGTATGTCTTCAGTGTTTTCCAGAGCTACGTTGAACTGTTCTCTTTCTGACCAGGCTAGTGATAGTTTGGTTGGTTGCTCTGGTTCTGAAATGGAGGGTTATGAGCCTTGTTCTCAGAGTCGGCCAATTGATTCTTCAAAAATTAAGGCTGCTCTTGAGGTGTTGAACTCATTGTGCGAGCCACAGGTTAATGCATCAAAAAATATTTCATTGCAGATTAATTCTGATGAGCATAGTGACTTCCATGGGAACTCTGATGCCAATGGGGTGAAATCTTTTGAGGATTTTCCTGGGAGTCAAAAAGTGTCCGATGGAAACTCTAGTGATTCAATTGTTAAAGAGAAAGCAATTGTATTTTCTCAGTGGACAAGGATGTTGGATTTGCTTGAGGCGTGTCTTAAGAATTCTTCAATTCAGTATAGGAGGCTTGATGGCACAATGTCAGTTGTTGCGAGAGATAAAGCTGTTAAAGATTTTAATACTCTCCCCGAGGTTTGTGAAATCATAGATCCCTTGATTGCATGATTTAAGGCTAGATCTCCCATGTCATATTCATTTGGAGTGCATGGACAAAATGAGTGATTAGCATCTTTTAGTTTCTTTGCCATCATTATGATGGTTTACTTTTGCACTTTATCTGGCAGGTAACAGTAATGATTATGTCTTTGAAAGCTGCCAGTCTTGGTCTCAACATGGTAGCTGCCTGTCATGTACTTTTGCTGGACCTCTGGTGGAACCCAACAACTGAAGATCAAGCAATTGACAGAGCACATCGAATTGGGCAAACTCGCCCTGTAACTGTTTTACGGTTGACTGTGAGAGATACAGTTGAAGATCGTATTTTAGCTCTACAGGTATCAATCATCAATCTAACATATAACAAATTCTTTTATCATCGTTTTACTATTCACTTTGGGTTCTGTAGTCCCCCTGCGGATAGGAAGGTGGTTCTAGTATGTAATTAGAAGAAAGTAGTGTTCGAATATGATGTTATATGTTATTGTAGTCAGCACTTAGGCGATACTCCAGTGTGTGAAATTTTGCTATGGAAAACAATATATTGAGCAATACAAGGGCATAAGTTCAGAGGCCAGACTCTGAGTGACATTTCAATTTCAGTTCAGTTTCTTGTCTTTGCTTTAAAACAGGATTTGATATTTAGATGGCCACTCAACTTGGGCACAAAATTGAGTAGAAAACATTTATGGCCTGTATAGTACGCTGAATGGAATAAAATGGAAAAAAATGATTTTGTGTATCCTTTGTATCTTCAAATAAAAGAAAAATAAAGAGATAGCTACTGCTTAGTAATGATAACATGGTGTAATTGATGTTATATCTCCTGATTTTTATACAAGAGAAATTGAATACCTTTCTCTTGTTGGGACATCAATATGTGCATAAGGCAGGAAAAGGAGAAGACTTGCGATTTGTAAAGACCATTCTGCTAAAGAAAATACTTATGTTCCATCTCGATCCAATGTGCAATTCTAGGGCCTAGGGCAAGAATAGAGGGGTTGTTAGTTTGGGATTCGAACAAGTTCCATTGACATTGTCATGTTCTGGGTGGGAGACATTGCTTGAATTTAGTTTACTCCTGATAGTTGAGCCCACCCTGCTCTCCCAGACTACCTTCTTAGGGATTTGCCTATAAAGACCACAGTTACGAGGAGGAACGGTTTGTTGTATGAATTGGCGTGTCATTTGACCAGTGCTCTGACTGAGTCTGTCACTTGTTTAGAGAACTTGTTATCTAGACGACTGCCTTTCAGAATTATGGATTTTACTGGTTGCTCATGCAAAGAATGTTACATGTACCTTGCAGCAAAAGAAGCGAAAGATGGTTGCATCTGCGTTTGGAGAAGACGAAACTGGCGGTCGTCAAAGTCGGCTCACAGTGGATGATTTAAAATACTTGTTCATGATGTGATTAGACACATACATTCGTACAGATACAATTTGTTTTTGCAATTTTTTTTCCAGAAGGGGGTGGGCTGTTGGTGGAAGCAGAAGTCAGGGAACAACAAAACAGGCATTTGCTAACCAATACTGACAGTAACTACAGGGGCTCTGTTGAGGTTTGACAAGAAGATTAAAATGTGTTGTCATCGTAGCTTGGTTGAGATGATTCATTCTTTCACCTGGAAATTTTGGTGTAGTCTCTTGCATTTGTATAGGATGGAGACTAGGAGCAGTTGCAGACAGGAAGGTAGATAGATTCTGAGATTTTTCTTGTACATAATAGAAGGTTTACTTTTCCTCATAGTGAATAGTGTACTAGCTCTTGTGTATGTTTATTTCCCTTCCCTGGTATCATACAATCATATTAATATATCATATATTTTATACGCCTGGAGCAATGCCAGTGTACAGCTCACTTTAGAATCTAAATTCCGAATAAAACATTGGGTCCACTATTTAGTGTGTTGTAGATCCAGCCGCATGAGAGTGTGAATTTGTAGTTCCCTTTTGGGGCTTAGGAACGTGTTAAAAACGCGTGTTGAAGAAACAATATATGAATTTGGTATTTGAGTATTTATAATTGTATTTAAAGAATAATTTGAAGTTATTTATTTGCAAGTTAGGTGATTGCCTGGGAGTTTTTTTTAAGTACAAGGTAATGAATACAGAAGTATAATGTTTAGTTTTGGGAAAAATATCTATTGGCTTGTATAATTTGTATTAAAGTGGAATTATGATTTCGTAGATTAATAACATTGCCTACCTTTTTTTATTTCATGTTTGGAGTTTTAATTTGTTAAATCATAACTCCATTGTATCACAAAAGTGAACGGCGGTAACAAGTATATTTAATATCCTTAGTAATATATATCAATATAAGTTAAAGCTACATTAAAATAGTTATATATTTATAAGACTTGAATTTGAAATTATAAACAAGATATGAGACTTTATTTTCTAACTCAAGACTCTTGCTACTTTGCATGTGAAAGATTTAAATAAAAAGTGTAATAGTCTACTAAATAAAAAAAATTAAATTGTTATTGATGTTTTTTAGGAAGTTGCTGTAATAGTGAGACTTGGTTGGGCAAAACTTCTACTTGTTTTTGTCCAATACATGAACCATCTTGACTTCAAAAAAAAAAAAAAAAGAAAAGAAAAAAGAAAAAAGGAAGCTAAATTATCTTCAGAAAATATTATTGAAAAGAATCCAAACACTACATTCCACCACAAGCGCCACTTGACCTCGTGATTCGTTCACCTAGGAACACGAAACCTGAAAATTAATAATATTTCTCCAGAATAACGAAAGTGTCGCGATTCCGCAAGTCCATCTGCCCTTTTGTTTTTGTTTTTTGTTTTTCAAACGAAGAACATATGATGAAGACTATAACATGCCATTGCGATGCTAATTGCAAAAGCTTAATTCAAAGTGGGGTTTCAATATACATATGCCATCAATAATCAGTTCATCACTGGCACCAAGTATTGTGCTGGAGAACGAACGAAACAATAATCAGATTACCCACAAAGGAATCAATCAAATAATTATAAATAACCCATCTTCATTCTTCAATCCGTCGTTGTTGCGTCGCATCTATCATTGAGCCACGACACAATGTCATTCCGAACGATTTCTACATTCTCATCAGTCTCCCCAAACAGTAAGAGTGCATCATCCCTTCGTACACCTTGATACTCTTATCTTCACTCTTTGCCACTTCATACAACTCTCGACTCACATTTGGGTCTGTAACAAGATCTGCACTCCCATGTAACACCACAAATGGAATCTTCACATCAGACAACCTTTGACTCAAATAATCTGTGACCCTAAACAGCTCCACCACTGTCCCTAATCTGGGTTTTCCCCTGTACCTCATCGGATTCATATCTGCGATCACTTTCTTGTGATCTACTTTCACGGACTTGTACAAGAGATCAGGGGCAGGAACAATAGGCAAAGTGGGGAAAAATCTCGCCAGAAAAGTAAGAATCTGAGGAATCGGCCATCTGGGTCTGACCTCGTCGGAGATTTTGCACATGGGTGCGACCAATATCGCGCCGTCGAACCCTTTCGGATCGGCGAAGTGGATGAGAAGGCAGATCGCACCACCCATGGACTCGCCGTAGAGGAAACGAGGCAAGCCCTGAAAGTTGGGGTCTTGCTTGACGGATCCGAAGAAGGAGAGGCAGTCGTGGACGACAAGATCGACGTTAGGGACGAAGGCCCTGAGGCCTTGGGATCGGCCATGGCCTTGGAGGTCGAGAGCGAAACAAGCGAAACCCATCTGAGCGAGGAAGATTGGAGTGGCTTGGAAGGTCCAGCTGATGTCGTTGCCGTAACCGTGGACCATGAAGACGACGGCGCGTGGAGGGGTGAGAGGAAGCCATGAACGCGTGAAGAGGGAGAGGCCTCTGGGAGTGGTGAAGAACGATGAAGACGAAGAGATTCCCTGCTGGGCGTAGAAGTCTTGCTCAGGATTGAAGCCCCAGTAGTGCGGGTAAGATTGAACCAGATTTTGACGTTCCTCCATTGTTGGAGGGCGTGGAGGAGGCTATCCTGTTTCCCTGCAGATTGCGTCCACAAATCGTGCGTTGGATTCTTGCCTTGCCGTGTGAGCTGTGACATATGCACTGAGTCGACGCGTCCGAGTTTTCTTCGACTAGGTCATGTTTTCTTTTAGGAAAAATTACAGCCTAAGACTGCTGAAAAAGATATTCCCCGCTGAGAGCCAATTAAATTTGAAATTACATTGTTGTCTGGATGTCCTAACAATAGTTAATTTGCATTGAGAAAAGACAAAAATGCCCTTAATGTCAAAAATAATAAAAAGAGATCATTGGTTTTGGCCCCCCCTCCCATGACCTTTGCACAATTGTTGGCTTAGAGGCGGTTTGGTTGTATTGAAGGCAGTTTTCTCATATTTGAGTTTGGGAGAAGCTACTCATTAAGTTAATCGAGATTTGGTGTGCTACAGAAGCTTGTGCATAATCGTGGAATGTCGTGTTGGCGAGCATTGTTGGAGTTTGTGAGAAGTAGAAGCTGCATTGAGCTATAAATTGAGTTTCTTCAACCTTCTTTGTTTTGTAAACCATTGCATTGTTCCCTCCAAAGAACTCATGTTGCTTGATTAATGAATGCTGGTAAAGGAGAGGACAAATGTTGTTGGTTGTTTGTTGTTTTATTGTGATTGATAAGTATATAATGTTGATGATTTGTCAAAGAGTTAAATATGTAAATGGATGCAAAAGATAAGTGCTATTATTAGTTTGACAAGTATAATGTGCAAATGACAAGTACTGTTATAATATTTTTTGACAAGTATATAATCTGCAAATGACAAGTCCCGTTATTATTTTGATAAGTATATAATGTGCCTTATTTGTCCGATGTTTTAGGCAAGTATATAATCTTCTAAAGACAAGTTCTGTTTCTATTTTGACAAGTATATAATTAGCAAATGACATGTATTATTGTCATATATTTTTGACAAGTATATAATTTAAAAATGACAAGTATTGTTGTTATATTTTTTTTTACAAGTATATAATCTAGAAATGATAAGTCCCGTGATTAATTTGACAAGTATATAATGTACATGATTTTTCTGAAGTTTTGTTAAAGAATATAATTTGAAAAAGACAAGTTCTGTTTCTATTTTGACAAGTATATAATGTGTAAATGACAAGTCTTATTATGTCTTACTAACAATTATATAATGTGCATGATTTGAAGTTCTAGACAAGTGTATCATCTTATAAAGACAAATCAAGTTAGTATTTTGATAAGTATTGAATCTGAAAATGACAAGTCCTGTTATTACTTTAACAAGTATATAATCTGCAAGATTTGGATAAGTTTATATTCTGCAATAGACAAGTCCCGTTACTATTTTGACAAGTACATAATGTGGAGATAACAAATCCTGTTATTTTATTTTTGACAAGTATATAGTATACATGATTTCTCTAAGTCATGGAATTGTTAATATGTGCAGTGGTAGAAAAATGGATGACAAAAAAAAAGGAACGTGTGGTAGGATTTAAGTTATTTAAGAAGGATTTTTATGCAAATATGAAAGAAATTAAGAGCTTTCAAGATGCAACAGATGGTGTTAGACAAGCTTGGAAGAGAGTGAGTAAGGAAGAGAAGAAGAAATATAAAGAAATGGCATTAGAAGGAAGAGTAGAAATCTGTAAAAAGTATACTCTACCATTCATAACTAGATGCTCACTTAGTAAGTTTATAGAAGTTGTTGAATATGTGAAGGGGAATGAAAATTTAAGGGAAAGGGTGGAGAAAATTAGGTTTTGGGGTTTCTTAGATATTAGCTGTAGGAGATTCCTTAAGAACTTGTCGTAAAGGTGATTAATGTGTATGATCCACATGCTAAAAGGATTACCATGAGAGGAAAGACTATTAATATTAAGTTGGCAGATGTTGAGCTCTTACTGGGGTTACCTAATGAAGGTAAAAAAGTGAAAATAGTTGTTAATAATGAGGTTATAAGAGGAATGAAGAGAGTTTATTCCCCTCTTTCTTATAATGAAATGAAAAGGAAGATAATGTTTGGAGAACATGATGATTCCTTCAAGGTTTTGTTTGTATTATATACCTTGGATACTCTATTGTGTCCAAGTACATGTTTTAGTGTAAGTGATCGTCTATTGAAAGTCATGGCTTGCACCAACAATGCATGGGCATAATATGATTGGGCCTCGCTTGTTTTCAATGAACTAACAACTAAAATTGAAAAGTATAGGAAGGCTATTAAGAAGGGAAAGCTTTGCAAAACTAAAAATATTGGAGGTTGTGTGTTCTTCTTACTGGTACATACATATTTGTCACTTTTATGAACTAAGTTAGCCCTTTTGAGTTACGTGTGATGTGTGTATTGCTTCCAAATTTTGTTCCTCTAATATTTCCTATTGGTTGCAGGTGGCCCATCCTTAAATGATGCTTTAAAGCACTGGAATGAGAAAAGAGTGAACAAAAGAGTGGACATGGAGAGAAAGAGCTGCCATGGATTTATATATGTTCTAGGCATTGGTGAGGATACTTCTTCAACAAAGATGCTACCAATAACATCATTTTATGACCAAGTTGGTATTAAAGTTGAAATTCATAATATATGCTTTGATTGAAAATTGTCTTACACAGTGTGTGCCTTATGTAGGAGTTAAAGGAGACTTATTTGAGGATTAACAATTTTTTTTCATGAGGAAATGATGAAGGTACAAACATTTGTTGCTGAGGAGTTGCTGTTCACTATCAAGTGTTACTGCAAGCGTAAGGGTCGTCACAAGTATAGAATATTTCAGAGTTATCATTTCCACAAGAATTTAGACAAATGAGGGTTAAAATTCACTATTAAACTTTAAGATAGGTTGAGCAAAATCAAGAGTATGTTTGTGTAAAAGTAATAAAAATTTAATTAAAATCATTTTAGAGCAATTAAAACTTATTGAAACCTTGACTTTCAGAGATGAGGATCTAGGATTATCTCTCCCATTTATATTCATAAAACTCAAATTAATTCCTCTCAAATAGATTTTTAATGTAAATAAGTGTTAGTCTAAGATTCTAATTCACTTGAAAAAGCTTTCTAAAGTCAAAATCGAGTATATTTAAAAATATTAAAATTTCACAATCTCTTGAAAATAGTTAGTGAAAACAAATTTTTAGCACCAATTTTAATGTGACTATAAAGAGTTAATAAAATATCTCTATTTTATCAATAAAACTATCCGTTTATCTTTATAAATTTCAAGTTTAATACTATTTTATCTAAGTTTGGCACCTAAATTAGCTTTCTCAAATACAACTCAAGTGAATAAAACAATCTAAATGGTGATCAAGCACTTAAAAGCATTAAGCATAGGATAAAATAAACACATATATATCATTAGCTACTAAAAGAGAAGAATATCCAAGTCTTAATCCATACAAAGGTTCAAAATATCTTAAAACAAAAGAACTAGCTACTCATGTTCATAAAAGAGCCACAAATGTCAGAATATACAGCATCCATATCAAAAACAAAGGGAGAGAAGGGAAGAGAAGAAGAAAAATAAAAAAAATCCACTTGAATCTCTTCAAATATTCAATCCTTGGCCAAATCTCCTTTAAGAATCCCAAACCCTAGCAGAGCAAACCACAAAGAATCTCCAAAAATTGCAGTTGAGTGTCTAGAGGCATGTTTATGGCTCATCTACCCTAATCTTTCCATTTTGTAGCTCAAAATACATAGTAAGATTTAGGCTGTGTACTGCGATGTGCTGTCAATGTGCTGCGGCATATGTGGCAAAATGTGAAATTGCGCTGTGGTTCTCTTGCATCTCCAAGACTCTCGTTTCTGTGCCACATGCCGCGGTGCATTATGCATACATCGTAGCACATGATATAGAGCCTCTAATCTTTGCTTTTGGCTCCAATTTTTCTATTGATATGTTTTCATATGCATCTTCAATCATTATTTGGCTATCTATCTTCAACATTACTTAAGATAAATTACCTGAAATAGTAGATACATCTATGAGATCTTTTAAAGTTTAAAATCAAAGTAAGAGTCTTGCAAAGTTCTTAATAAATTCTATTTTCTAGGTCAATTTGGAATAAAACTCATTTTCCTATATTTAAACCCAAAATATTTACAATTGATCTAATTCATCAAATAAAGTGCAGGAAAATATGCTAAATTGACATTAATTTCAATAGGTTATCAACTCTTGAAGCTACAAGTAAAGAGGGGTGCCTTAGAAAAAGAGGAGGATGGAGATGAGAAGGAAGGAGAGAGTAAGGAGGATGGAGATGAGAACGAAGGAGAGAGTGAGCAAGAAGAGGAAGAACAGAATGAAGAAGAACATAAGTTTGGAGATAGTGAAGAGGAAGTAGACAGTGAAGAAGAGGATGAAGGAGAGCATAATTCTGAACATAGTAAAAAGAAAGTGGACAATGAAGAGGAGGAGGAGGGAGAACATAAATCTAGACAAAATGAAGAGGAAGATGATACAAAAGATGAGAACAACTCAAAACAAGTACATACAATGAGGAGAAGGAAGGTTTAAATGAATCAGAATATAATGTTGGAGGTACTTTAAGGAGGTCAAAAAGGGTGAAAAAGGTGCAAGGGTATAAGGCTGGTGAACAAGTCACCATTCATGAAACTATAGCTCCCCCTTCCTATTTAAGAAGTTATTCCATCTAGCAAATTTAATTCCATTCACTGATACATAACTAATACTGATGCATACAGAATCAAACTTTTAGTATACAACTTCCATTACAATAAGAACAAGTTAATATTAGTATATAGACAACATCAATTTCACCTAATTTCATATTGATACTTGTCATGGTAGCAATAAGAATGCTCATGAAATTTTTCATCCATTTATACCATATTGTTGCACAGATGTAACATCTTAGATTTTAAATTTAAGAATTTTAAGTGTTTAGAAGGGTATATTAGTAAAATTAAGTGAATTTGAATTAATGATATTTTGAGAGACTAATGTACTTAAATGATCCTTGGACAGCCTTAGAAGAGGGCTAGGTCAGTGTTTGAGTATGCCGTAGCACGGAGAGATAGACCTAAAATGTGTGGGACTCTTTATGCCATACACTGTAGTGGATGCACCTATGCATCACGGCGCATGTGCAAAATATACATTTATTAGACTCGTGAATTAGACTAAAAATCAGAAATGGGATAAGAGAAATCGTGAGAAGACATTGAAGAATGACCGGTGGCTACTAGGGCATGACCTCTAAACCAATTTGGATGCTTTTAGTGTAATAACCGAAGAATTCTAAATAAAAATTTAATAAATATTATTGTTGTATTTTAATTGTAGTTATATAAATGCATGGGATATATGTGATGATAAGGATAGCTGGTATAGTGGAAGCTATGTAGGTACTACTCCCATCATGTCTTGAGCTCAAATCCCAGAAAGCTGATGTTTTATTTTTTTCTGCCTTCTTCACTATGAAATTACAAAATAGGCCTTCCTTTAAATCTGATAAAAATCTTCAACTTTCTTTTTGATTCCTCTAGAGTTTATCAACAGAGAAGAAGTTCTGACTATCCTTTCAACTCTGTAAATTCGTCCATCCCCTCCAGCGTTCTAATGTTGTTGATGTGGGTTTCAATTCCATCGTGAGTTTACTGTTGTTTTCTTCTTCTGCCATTTTCTTGTTTCTGTTTTGTTTCTTTTCTAATTTTTGTTACCGTCAATCGCTGATGTGAAGGCCATGGGTGGTCTGTGTGAGAGGCAGAAAAGTTTGGTGCTTAAGGTTTTTGAACTTTCGACTGTCCTCTTCCTTTCTGAAATAGCTTGTCACTACCGTGGGGAGAGTTTCATTTGTTGCTTGAGCATCTTCTTTTCTAATCCTCTTCTCAGTTTGGCTGCCTTATCCTGCTCCTTTTGTTCTATTTTGCTGGGTTTAGGTGAGGAGATTCAAACCTTTTCATTGCTGGTTTTGCTGTGAGTATAAGTGTACTCTGTTGTTGTTGCGCGTGAGATTACAGTGTTTTTTTTGTGCCCTGTTGCTGCCGTACTGTTATAGAGAGGAGGAAATTCAAATTTGATTTGGAAATTATCTTAAAGGTTAATAATGATATACATATGGGTCAACTTTTGAGTTAAATTCATTTTGTTTAAATTAGTTGATAATGAAGAATTGGTTAGGATTATGTTAGAAGAAATGAAATATGAAGCTTGAGGAATGATGACTATAAGATGATTATTGAAGTGCTTATTAGCTGAAATTGAAATTATTTTTGAGTATTCATGGAGATTCATTAGTTATTGTGGGAAGTATGAAATTTAATTCAGATGTTGCAAAGGACATTTGTCTATGGAATTTATAATGTGATTTTTTTTGAATGTTTGAAGATGGATAGTTGTTGAGGAAATATTGAATGCTAGCATTTTTATGAGGAGATCGAAAATAATTTATGTTTGGTGCTTTGGCCAAATGCTAGTGATGATTTTTTTTAAAACAAAATTCAAATGTATTATAGTTGAATATTGGTGATGAGTGAGCTTGGAAAAGGAAATTATTGTATTGGTTGAGAGTTAAATAAAATTTTAATATGATTTATAGTGAGTTTGGAAGGGGAGGAAATTAATTAAAGATGAGAGGAGAAATTTAAATTTTGAGATTTCAGGTAAGTGAATAGCATTCCCTTTAATTTATTTTATTAGTAGTTTTTATTTTTAATCAAATTTTTGTTGAAATATTTTATTCTTGTGAATTACATTAGTTTTGAACTTTGTGATATCGATGCGAGATGTTTAAAGGAGGATATATGCATTTATTTCCTTAGGGAATATGTTTCAAAGAGTTATGAAATTATTTGTTTATTAAACTCTTAAAATCCTTGGTTATTTAGATAATGCAAGCTCGTATATTATTTTATGAAAGACTATTTTCAGCAGGTCTTAAGTTGAAATTTCAAATGATGCATGCGAGTTTGGTATTGGGAGCTCAGATTATATTTTAAAAATAATTATTTTTCTTTTATGTTTGAAACACAATTTTTGAGAGGACTCTAAATAGAACACTGCTGCTAACGATAGTTTTGTTAGCCCGTAGCGCGCTGTGATTAAATACTAACTAGTTTGTTTTGTGAGTTTTATTCTCACGTTTGGTACTCGTGGGCTTTATGCCCGGGTTTGATTTTGTGGCCTGAGCTGCGTTTGGTTACTTATCCTCGTGGGTTGTGTGTCTACGTTTGTTTCGTAGCTTCAGCTACGTTTGGTTACTTATCCTCGTGGACTGATGTCTCCACGTTTTTTTTCATGGCATAAGCCGCGTTTGGTTATTTACCCTCGTGAACTGTATGTTGACGTTTGTAACTTGTTCTATTGAGTTCTCAAAAATTTAAATGTTAATTAATATGTATTTTCAAAATTTACTGATTTTGACTAGTAATTTGTATCATTTTGGGTTCTATGAGAGCAGATTGACTTCTTTTAACATGATAACATAATTGTTTTCAATTTATTCTTATTTTACAAATATGATTATGACTTACATGCTTATAAATTTTGGTGGAATTACTTTCCATTACCTGACACCATTATTAGAGATTGTCAATTTAAATTTTAAAAAATTTTATCATGGGAATGCTCTTCACCGAAAAAATTATTTGGCTTCAGATTGGTTAGCTGACGCCATTCCACAACGACCTCAAAAAGGGCAAATAGCTACAGTGGGTGGACATTTTGATTAGTATTGTTGCTTTAATATAAATATATAATTTGTATGTCTTTTTGATTTGAAAGAAAGAGTAGATGCTCCATGTAAGTTGTTGATAAACTTTATTTTTGATCTATATATTGGTTGCTGGCTGGAAGGAGCTACGCTCCTGATTTATACTCTTATCTGTAAAAATTTTGTTGTAGAATTTTCGGGAGATCTAGTTACAGGAGAGGTTCTGCCAAAATTTCTACAAAAATATCGACACTCTCTTATAATATTAAGTTTAAAGAAGTTATTTTAATTCTCATAGGATTTGATTAAATTTTGTTCCTTTCTTTTGTAAAATAAAATAAATGTTCATTTTGAGGCTTACAGAATGTGTAAGTGACTCATTCCCGTGCCAGTCACTCTCTATTTTGAGGCGTGACATTTAGAGCTTGAATTATCACTGGGTAAGTTTTATATTTCCTCTCCTTCCCTTTTGCACAATTTTTTGACTTCTTGAGGTAATGGGGTTGTGATTTCATGTTTTCCTTGAGGTTAGACTGACCATTGACTTAGTTAAGGTCTTAGAGAGTTAAATCAAGCCTCTAACCTTAGGTTTATGGGTTTTGTATGGATTTGAGATTTTTGATAAGGGTTTGAACGAACCCTGGCATAATTTGAGAGTTTTGGAATAATATAGGGTAAATGGTTGATGATATTGGTGTTCTTGGATGTTAAATATGATTATTGAAGTGTGTTGGAAGGGTTGAGGTGTTAGATAAAGATTTTGGGTGTAACAGGTACTAAAATCTAGTGATTTTAGAGTTTAATTAGAGTGATAATTGATAATTATTGCTTAATTGTGTAGATTAAGTTTGCTCGGGTGTTATCATGTGAGTGGAAGTGTGTAGAACAAATGTTAGACCACAATAACACTTTTGTGACAAAAGGTTGAAGTAACAGAATAATTTACACTATTTGATCAAAGTGCTTAACTAACTGTGAGTAGATATGTAAATTTTCTATCAGTGATTTGAAAGCTTTATATATTATGAAATGAAATTTTTATGCATTTGAAATGATTTTCCAAATGATAAAAATTTGTGGAAGTCTCTTACACCTATTAAATGTGAAATGGATATAAATATGTATTATGTATGAGATGTATGTAATGATCATAATAGAGGGTGGAAGTTCACCCATAGAAAGGAGTAGTAGAAGTCCATATGGCATTATCTCCTTAGTTCCTAATAAGGTACAATGTTAGAGATTTTCTCCTTAGTGTTCATGTGGGATATGACGTTAGAGATTGATGATTCTTAGCATATTGACGTGGTGTTAGAATAACGACACCTCGATTCATGTGTGATAAGGAGAGACTATAGTCTGAAAGTGGGATAGGATACATTTGGCTAGATGATCCTACTACTAAAGGTGAGCTTGAGCCATTATGAATGTGCACTTGGTCTAAGAGCTTATAGATTTAGTTGGGATAGTATGGAGGCTCGGATGATAGAATGATCATGTTAGAGTGAAAAAGAATCATAATTATTGAAAAGATTGTACTGATTATACTAAAGGTATCTTTTTTGTGTATATTAGCTTTACTCTCTTATGGTTGTGCATGTTAATTAATAGTAGTAAGTTATTTTATTACTGAGATGTTTATCTTACCTCATGGTTATATTTTTACAAATGAAGCCATCGGTAGGGGCAAGGGGAAGGAAGAAACGACTGAAGAGTGAAGAGCCTTGTTTGTATATCTCTTCCTTTTCATATTTTAGTTTTGTAATGAACATGTCATGATATTATGCCAACTTAGGAGCATTTCATTGTTTTGCTATCACTTGTGTAAGCATTTGTGTTATGG